ATCCTCCTCTCCTCACAGAATGGTGGGAATGCAGCTCAGCATCCTCCTGTCATCTCGGAGCGCCAGTGCGCATGCGCGACCTCACCTTTCTGCTCCTCACACTGAAACCTCTTACCTGATTAGAGTTATTGTATGAAACACATTTGAACACTGTAATGGATGTTTTATTAACAAATAAAATTGCATTTTTCACTGACTATTTAGTCAACATGACCCTGTGTTGTGTGCGTAAACAGCTTCAACTCTGATGCATTATTGATAAATAAACAAATTAATCAAGTACATTTTCAAATCCTAAAAAAAGCTTGTTCTATTTTTTTACTCTAAGATTTTTAGCTGCTTATGATGCTATGAAAAAAAATCTTAATTTCTTGTGATTCAGTTAAAATCACATTTTCATGTTTATCTGCATGCCTTTAGGATGTGTACATTTTATGTGGCCCACAAGAGCTTCAAATATGTTTTAATGCTTATCCTGCATGCTTATTATTTTACTTGAAAAATGACAGCATCCACCACTAGATGAAGGCGCACAGGATTTAAAAGTAGCAGGCAAGTTTGCCGTGTAAAAATCTTCGTTGTGCTATATTTGCTGTGGCCCGTTTGTACTGGGAAAAGGGAAATTCCCACTTACAAGTCACAAATTTAAACTGAAATGCCTCTTCCCGGTCAGAAAAGTGGAGAGTTCAGAATTCAAGATAGTTACTTACCAAAACTCAACGGTGAGTAAAACTCCTTTTTTTTAAAAAAGTATTTCTGTAAAAAAGTTTTACATTTAGTCAATCGTACACGTAATACTTTTCAGTCTTTATAAGAGGAGCTTAGTTATTGTTTATTAGCTGTGCTCATTTGTAGCAATAAGATGAGGAACATGATGCTTTGTGTTTAGTCAAGCTTAAACATGAAACATCTAAGGTAAATACAACGTGCCCTTTGAGGGCATGAGTTTGACTCCCCTGTGAAAAAGTAACTAAAAAACAAGAAAATATATTTTTCTTTATTTTTTATCAATATTTGCTATTTGTTGCCCTTAAAAATGATTCATCTTTGCATTATAGTCGTGTTTTAAACTAAGTGTTTGAGCTGAACTAGTTTTCCATCAGCAATGCAGCCACAAACAACCAGACCACTGGGTAGTTTGGTACTTTGTTCACTGAACATGGAGCAAAAAAAAAAAAAAAAACAAAGGAGGAGGGGCTCAGAAAGAAGGTGGGCACCATCTTCAGGCAGCTTCATGTTCCTTTGACCACAGTGGCTAATATTACCAAAACAGATCCTGGTACTGTTCCATCCCATGGCGTAAAAGCAAGAGACAGATGGGTACTAAAGAGCCAATGAAACCATTCAAACTAAACTCCAAGGTCAAAATCACTTTCTGATTGCATCATCAATCACATTTTAAACCATAATGAGTTCCACAGAAGAAGAGATGCATTTATGTTTTTGTTTGCACAAGCTACACTTTGCAGGACGCYTGTGCTTTTGTTTATTTCTGATTTATGTTTGGAAAAGTTAAACATCAGTCGTTTATTCTCAAGAGGTTTATTCAGCACCCATCCAGCTTCCAGAAATAACACATCAACATAACATCCCATCTGAGCCTAATGCTCAAAATCAAACATCTCTGCCTCCTTCTCTTTCCAGAAAGCAAAGCTGCGATCGATGTATTTACATATATCCTCGTTACTGAAGCAGGAAAAGTCAGAGCCGCTGCTGTTCTCATCTGGGGTCGCACTTTGTACCACAACCTTGGGCAGAGATGTGGACTCTGGCAGTAGAGATGATGCTGATGATAATGGGCAGCTGCTTGGCTTGGATTCGCCAAAGAAATGAAACTTGAGGTCTTCAAAGCCGTCGCCCCACTGCCGCCTGCCGGCCTGGATTTCCTGCAGGACGGCCTTGTGGAAGTCCCTCACCTTCTCCCAGGGGAACCTGCCAACGTGGTCGAAAACTTCAAAGCACAGGAGATGCCTCATTTTCCTCTCCTCTGCGGTCAGCTCTTGCTCTAAGATGTGGAAGTAACCCAGCATGAAGAGGTCGAGGGTCAAGCTGTCGTGGCCCAACGCAACACCGTTCACATCGGGCAGGAAATGCTCGGGGGAAAAGGTCACCTGGGTGGGAGGATTTTGCGAGAGGTCAGAGGACGCGTCATCGGGCTCCAGTTTATTCTTCCAGGAGCTCAGCATTTTGTCCACCGCCCCTCGTTGTTGGCAGAACTGGACCAGGGAYGTGTTTTTCTCTTCAGCCTGTGTCGCCATCGCTGTCTCTGGYGCCCTCTGCCGCGCTGCTCTAACTGAGACTGCGTACGCTGATTTCTTCCAGTGGCTCAGGAACAGCACCACTATTCGCTCTTTCCTTAAACTCGTGGTGTCATAAACAGGTATGCGTTTTTTGGAGGCACTGTGGTTGAGTTCTGAGTTGACTTCAAGAGTGTTTTCTCCAGAAGCGTCCACCTTAGTCGGCTTTTTCAACTCCTGTTCTCTCTGTTCAACTCCAGCAAAGGGACAAAAGCCAMCAATYCGACCCTCAAAGTTAGACCTAAGGTTTCTCACWGACACCCCAGACTGCTGGATTTCTCTCTCCACCTTCTCTCTCTGTGCTCTGCTGCAGCTGTGGCTCTCCAAGCGGTGGCTAAACGCAGACGCCATCCCAGTGAGGGGAATCCTGCATCCACTGGAGGCCCCCGCAGGTGTTGGGGTCATCGCTTCTTGCTGCACCATTTCTCGGTCCAAATCGGTCGTYGAAATGTCTCTGATTTCTTGCAAACCTTTCATCCCCTCCACCATGCCTTCCACCATCCTCCAGTCACTTCCTTTGTCTGTTTGASTCAGATTGGACACCAGCAGAGACAAACTCCTAACAATCTCTGAGACCCGGCTGCACCAAACTGGTAAACTCAGGTGYGTTCTCCCCTCAGAGTCCCTCTGTTGCAGGATGTCTTTGTTGAGGGAGATATTGACGATGGGATCGGGGAAAATTGCCCTTAGCTCCTCAGTTAGCCTGGTCAGCTCCAGCTCGTAGGCCTGGCAGCGTTTCTGCAGAGAAACAGCCTCAATCTGCTGCTGCAGGTAAACTAAGTCTTCCTCCGTTAGAAGCTCACCAAAGGGCCCCAAGATGGCGTTGCGAGCCTGAGAGAACTTCCAGGTATCTGCTGGCACATAACCACTCTCCATGTCCTATTGGAGACACAAAGAAATGTCACGTCGTCTTTAGGGGTAGGCTTATTTGTTTTAATGTCACAGTAAAAACATCCCAGGTGAGGAGGAGTACCTGTCTCCTCTGCTCCTCCTCATCKCTCAGCCTGACCTGCAGCTGCCGCACCATCACCTGTCGTTTCCACTCGGGTATGGGGCGGCCGGCTTCGTCGTGCGTCGGCACCAGGGAGTCGATGTCAGCCAAGATTACRTCGACAGCTGGTGACTCCTCCGGCACCTCCTCTCTGTCAAGATGCTGTCAGTGTT